ATTTAGAACCTGGGGAAGGGGTGGTTTCTCCATCACATACCTTTAAATTGGCGTCAGATAGCTCAACATGGAGTTTATGAGCTTGATGAAGGAATATCAGGGTGATATTTTCTGACCTGTGCGATGTAGGAGGTCAGACTAGAGGCTCATTATGGCCCCTTCTGGCTTTGAAACCAGAGTGATTTGTGATATTGTGAAGCAACTGTTGTATTATCCATAGCAGGCAACTGTTGTATTATGCCTTTAGCTATTACCCATGTGGACCTGAGAGTTAACATGCATCTGGCATCAGTAGCCAGATGAACCTCTGAAGGATTTGGTAACTCTTTATACTGAAGGCTGACTTCATCTTTCTTACCCCTTCTCCAGAATAATGGTCTCTTTCTATGTATTGCACACCGTCACACAAGATGTTTATGAGATCTGACTCCCTAGACACAGTGTTTCAACTCATCCTCTACCTAAAATACATTCATCAGTAGAGTAAATGAAGCATCTGTACCATGCCAGAGATGAACACAACTCTAATAGGAAAAAGAGATCATGGGCAGCTGCCTTTCCTGCTGTTACTTGCTCCCGAGTGACACAGAGAAGGTCAGCAGTGGGGTAACATCTGCTGTTAGGCACAGGACACTGATCTCAAGACTGTCAGACAAACGAACCCAGATGAATGGCCGTACTGTCACCAGATGGTCAGTGTCAGCTCCTAGGGTTGGCTTTATGCAGCAGCCTCAGCCTGCCTTTCCAACAGGCTTCTGGTAGCAAGGCATATCCATGAAAGACACTGAGATTTAGCATGACACTGTCATGATCTTTAGAAGTACATTTCTTCTGCTCCTTTCCTGATGCAACATCTACGCTCTTTGGATGTTGCCCTCCACAAGCAGAGCATTGCGCTGTCTATCAACGACTCATTCTTTTTCCATGGACAGCTTTTTGCTGTCCATTTTTTTTCTAAGTCCCAATTCCAGAAAACTCTTAAGCAAGTGCTTAACTCTTACCGACTTCACTGGGACCTAACCGTATAGATTAGTACTGTCCTGAATGGAAGACATTTTCAGACCAGCCAAGGCGCAGAGCATTCTGTTGCTGCCTTCCCAGTGTGCACACACCATCAATATTCCCACTCACTTCCTGCCTGGCAGGCTGCTGTTTAGGTGTTTTTGTTTAGATGGGTGCAGCTGGAAGGATACCATTCATATCTGGCCATACCTGGGTCCATCTGTAATATCAGTACAGGTGATGTAGAAAGGACAGAGTAGGGTCAAAGGCTCCACTGGGCATTAACAGCTAGGGTGGAAAAGAGTCTGGCCAACCTGGAAATCTTCATGACCCCAGACAGGGAAGGTAAGGGATGTTATGCCGGGCAGCAGGGAGTGTCTGGCTGGAACCCCTGCCTGGAGCAATTACAGTGAAGAGGAGATAAACTGCAGCTGCTGGGAATTGACCAGTAGCTAGGTTGCTGCTGAGAGGAAGCTGGGCCCTGCAAGATCCCTGCTTCCATCCCTAAAGTCTGTTTGTGGCTAACCCCAAGGGGCAGTGGGATAGAGTGAGCTATTTGAGCCCCTCCTGAGGGGCAGCAGGGCACTAGCAGGATCAAAAGATACCATGGATAGCATTTTCAGGAACATCTGGGTGAGACAGACTCCATTTTTAGGAGTACCATAGGCACTGAGGAGCCAGTGTCTCCTGCATGAGATTTGGACTCCTAAGTCAAGTAAGTGCTTCTGACATTGTCTCATATCTACTCTCCCATGAAGGGTTGTGGTGTTCCCTCTTTAAGAGAGGGTTGAGAGAGTGTGATATTCTTCTTGTCTGTGAAAGTCTTCATCTTTCTTAAAAGGCAAGGCAGAATTGCTCCCTGTGTTCATCGTGACCATGGGCTCTGCTGTCTTGCCCAGTGGCCTAGTCCATTGTGCTGAACCCTCTTGGAGAGGACTCCAAAATTAACTCCTCCCTGTTTTCAGTACTAAGCCATCAAGTTATATCCTGCCTCCCATGCTTAATTTCAGCCAGTGTTGAGACAAATGGCAGCTGGTGCTGGGGGACTCTGAAAAGGTTCAGAGCTTCAGTTTGACCCACCCTGATGAACTGTAGCTGCTGGGGAAAGGTCTAGTGGCCTGCTATTGTGCTACAGCATAGAGACAAGCAACACCCACCTCAAGAAAATTCCTAATCGGGTATCTTCAGGGCACAGCATGGTCAGCCCACTTCCCACCACCTCACCCGCATTCCTTTCTCCTGTTGTCTTAAGGCAGTTCTCAAAGGCTGTACAGTCTAGGGACATGGCTGCCGTGGGGGACCTAAACTACCCTGACATCTGCTGGGAGGAACAGTCAGCTAAATCCTACTGTTCATGTAGGTTCTTAACCTGCATGCAGGACCTTTATCTAACACAGGAGGTATACGGTCCCACTAGGGGAATGCCTTACTGGACTTAGTGTTGGCTATGAGGGAGGACCTGGTAGGGGAGCTGCAGATTCATGGTCACCTTGGGGACAGTGACCACCAATCGATCGAACTCACCATACAGTGTAGGGTGGGTAAGATAAGTAGTAGGATGGAAGTGCTTGACCTTAGGAAGGCTAACTTCAGTGTGCTCAGGGGTCTAGTCAATGATGCACTGCAGGATAAGAGTATTGGCAAGATGGGAGTCCAGGAAGGGTGGTCATTTCTAAAGGAAGCAATCCTTTGGCACAGAGGGATACTATCCCAGTACAAGGGAAAAGGAGCCAAAAAACTTTCTTGGCTAAACATGGAAATCCAGGGGAGCCTAAGGGCAAAAAGGTGGTGGAAGCAGGGGGAAGCTACTGAGGAGGAGTATACGTCCTTGACCTGAACTTGCAGGGAGGCAGTTAGAAAGGCCAAAGCAACTACAGAGCTGAGGCTGGCAACACAAATTAAAGACAACAAAGTCTTTTTTTAGGTATGTAGGGAGTACAAGGAAGGTGCAGGGCATCATAGGACCCCTATTGAACAAGGAAGAGCCATTAGTGACAGACAGGGCGGACAAGGCTGAGCTATTCAGTGAGTTTTTTGCCTCAGTATTTCTGAACAGGGGTCAAAATAAGTCTCCTAATGGGTTCTTAGATGGGCATCAGAGGGACACCAGCCCATCAACTGTCGACGCTGACTTGGTGCAGAGTCACTTGGACTGGGTGTGTTCAAGTCAGCAGGCCCAGATGAGCTGCATCCGAGGATACTGAAAGAATTGGCCGGTGTCATAGCAGAGCCACTGGCACAGCTGTTTGAGTGCTCGTGGTGCTTGGGTCTGGTCCCGGAGGACTGGAAAAGGGCCAACGTGGTCCCCATTTTCAAGAAGGGGAGGAAGGAGGATCTAAGTAATTATAGGCCAGTCAGTCTCACCTCCATCCTTGGAAAGGTCTTTGAAAAGATTGAGGGATCATATTTGTGGGAGTCCAGCGGGAAAAATAATGCAGCAGAGAAACCAGCACGGATTTGTAGCAGGTAGATCGTGCCTGACCAATTCGGTTTTGTTTTATGATAGGGTCACAAAATGCTTAGATGCAGAAGTAGAGGTGGATGTCGTTTTCTTGGACTTTAGCAAGGCCTTTGATATGGTATCTCATCCCATTCTCATAAATAAATTAAAAGGCTGTGACATAAATGTTTACACAGTCCGGTGGGTGGCAAATTGGCTTAGCGGTCGCACCCAGAGAGTGGTAGTAGATGGGTCGGTGTTGACCTGGAAGGATGGGGTAGTGGGGTCCTGCAGGGTTCAGTCCTTGGACCTGTACTCTTCACTATCTTCATCAGTGACTTGGATGGTGGTGTGAAGTGTGCTCTGTCCAAGTTTGCGGATGATACTAAAGTGTGGGGTGAAGTGCACACTCTGGAGGGTAGGGAATGATTGCAGGCAGACCTGGACAGGTTAGAAAAGTGGGCAGTACACAATAGGATGCAGTACAACAAAGACAAGTGTAGAGTGCTGCACCTAGGCTGCAAAAATATCCAGCACACCTACTGGCTGGGCAGTAACCCTCTCAGCGGCACAGAAGTGGAAAGGGATCTCAGAGTCATAGTGGATTTCAAGATGAATGTGAGTCGTCAGTGTGACAAAATCATCAGCAAAGCTAACCACACTTTATCATGTATCAGCAGATGCATGACAAATAGATCCAAGGAGGTGATACTTCCCCTCTATGTGGCATTGGTCAGACCTCAGTTGGAGTACTGCATCCAGTTTTGGGCTCCGTACTTCAAGAAGGATGTTGATAGACTCACAAGAGTCCAGAGGAGGGACACTCATATGGTTAGGGGCTTACAGGACAAGCCCTATGAAGAGAGACTGAGGGACCTGGACCTCTTCAACCTCTGCAAGAGAAGGCTGAGAGGTGATCTTGTGGCCACCTACAAATTCATTAGGGGGATGCAGCAAGGGATCGGAGATGCTCTGTTCACCAGGGCACCTCTTGGGGTAACAAGGAACAATGGCCACAAACTGACAGAGAGCAGATTTAGGGTAGATATCAGGAAAAACTTCTTCACGGTAAGGGTGGCCAAAATTTGGAATGGGCTTCCAAAGGAGGTGGTGCTCTCCCCTACCTTGGGGGTCTTTAAGAGAAGGCTGGATAGGCATCTGGCTGGGGTCATCTGGCCCCAGCACTCTTTGCTGCCTAGGCAGGGGTCAGACTCGATGATCTGCTGAGGTTCTTTCCAACCCTAGCATCTATGAATCAATGAACTCACTTTACACTTGCGGAGTGACAAAACTTAGCACTTCTTACGTTTTACAGAGCACGCTTCCATTTCATAGCCCAGCACTTACAGAGGGCTGGGGATACCCGATCTCATGCAAGGTGTGAGGGATATTTTAAAGCTGAATTTGTACAGGATAACTGATCTATGCTGGAAATGGGGACCATCTCTGGGATGGGCTTTGGTGGTGGTCTTGCTGGGTAAGCTGTATACGTGGGGATGATGCCACTGCTTAGCTCTGAACTCAGCTATTTCTTTTGTTGTCTTTCTTTCCTGTTTAGCTCAATTTAGATGGGCCTGGTGACCTGTCAGCAAACACCTTTGAAGTGCCGCCATCCTGCCCTGTCACTGGTGTCCCAAGTCCAGAGCAAGTAGTGTTTGAGACTCCTGAATCAAGTGTTTTGCCTGTTCAAACTAAAAAAAAGAGAGGCTTCTTCTTCAAGGGAAAACAGCTCTTCAGAAAACTAGGGTCCAGTAAGAAGAACTGAAAATGGATGTTACTGAACTATTTAGACCTGTCCATGAACAGGCATGGACTGTAAATTCAGGACATGCCCTCTGCAATAAACTGACCTGCCACAGAGTATTTTCATAAGGAAAAAGTCGACTTTAATTATTTACAACTTTCTAGTGGCTTCATAAACCTAGGCCTCCTTCACATGGTCTTCACAGAGAGCCCTGTTGCCACTGGGCTGCATGTCCAGTGAAACCAGCACCTTGGGCGCAAGCAGTGTTCCTGTAGAAGAGCAGTGTGGACAGGAGCCTGGGCACTAGGGATATGGCTACCTCCACAGTAGTGTGTCCTGACTCTGCATAGCCAGCCATTCCCTGTAAATATTTTAATTCTAAAGGTGATATACTGGCTGTAATTTAGCTAAATGGCTGCTCCCAATAAAGCCCCAGCCCCTTAGGAATTACTCCTTAGTTGTAATACTGGGATTCCTTTGTATAACGTGCCCGGGTACTGCTCTATTCTGTTCAGATGCGGCTATTGGCAACCCCTCCACTTCCTGAAAAGATTGTTTGCACTTAATTTTCTTCCTGTGAATCCCCTTTGTTGTCTCTGGGTGGATGAATGAGACATTTGTACTGAAAACGGTGTAAATACTCAGCTGTGCCTAGGAGCATCTCATTCTGTCTCAGTTGTGCTTCATTGCAAGGGTTCCCCAAGGAGAAAGGAGACAATACCCACAAGGCTATTCTTGCATTAAGGGGTGCATTCATAGTTCTGCATAGAGCCAGGGCTTCCAGAAGGTGGTTGGTGCATGTTGATCATAGCTGTCTGGGGACTCCGCCTTATTTTTTTTCTTTTTCTTTTTTGTTTGCTTATTTAAATATTTGACTGACATATTCCGATGATTGTGTGTTCCTGACTGAGTTTTTGGAGAGCAGAGCTGGGAGCAGAGCCCTGCCAGGGATTTTGCTCCTGTTTTCATATGAGGTAACCTGTCCCTCGCATTAAGGATACATCCCTTTCTAAGCCAAGGAGTTTTGTACCATGTGGTTTCTATCCTTTTATGGCCATATTTATTTCTTTGCATGTCTCAATGGGGTATTTGTTTTGAGAAAGACAGTTATGTTTGGTATTTGAATGATGCTAACTAAGGCCATGTCCACGGGTGTTGGTGAAACAGTATGTTTTTATTTAATATCAAATTTTATTATAATAAAGTCTATTTTCACAAAAATACATCTTTTCCTTACAAAAGTCACACGTTCAATATTGCTTTTTTTCAAAGATTCTACATTGTCTCCTCACCATCCAGAATGAGAGGCCTTGGAGCACTAACACTCCCAAAACAGAATGACAGCCCCCACACCGAGGAACATTAGAAACTTAAGTTAGAAACGTGTTGTAAGGGGCTAAGATGCCACTAGGCCTCTCTCAGGGGCAGGACAGGCATTGTCATGGAATTACTGTGGGCACTTTATGGCCCTGTATGCCACAAGAAGAGGCTGAAACGGCTGCAGAAGGGCAGAATTTAGCCCAGTTTGTCAAATTCAAGGTTTAAGTATTTTGTGTCTCAAGAGGTTATTCTATACCCTTGGACACAGCAGGTGTTTTGTCACTTACTTCGGTAGGAGCAGGATTGAGCTGCAGGTTGGAGCTGCCATGGTTTTGGCACTATCCCATGCATGCGCAAAAGTGAGAGCAATTATTTCATGGTGTGCAGGAAAAATGTATTTTGTCTGCTTTGTGAGAGGTTACATTCACACAAGGGAGTCAAGTGTCATGATGCTAAGCATTGCCAACCTAACAGTTAGGCCACTGTTACCACCTAGATTCTATAGTTAGCTACTAAAGCTCAATTTGCAAAGCACCTGGATATGGAATTCCCACCCATCAGTGTCCAGGCTATTCAGTAAGCAGTGACAACAAAATGGGTTGCATTTCTCTTGTTACAGGGTTCACAATCCTGGACCCTGCCTTGGAAGTAAGCACCTAGGCCTTTTCTCCAAGGACACAGCTAAAGGAAGCAGGGGCTTCTATTCCATAGCCCTCACTTAGCATACTTCTTCAAGATATGGGAGGCCTAAGTTCAACACCCTCTTCTGCTTGAAGAGACCCAAACCAACTTTCATATGCAAGGATATTTTGTTGTAAGGCTGGTGTCAGCTCTTGCTAACGCTTCTGTTGGAGCTGTTCCACTTGGTATAAACTACATAAATATTCACTGGGCAAGAAAGAAAGAGTGAGGAAGACTCTAGTGTGAGGGAATAACCCAAGTCTGTTGCTATTTAAATTGTGTGTACAAAATGGACTCCCACAAGAGAGACTGAGAGGGCACCTATAGATGTGCAGTGAGACTGCTCTGATGTGCTGTAATTACAGCGCGTCAGAACAGACTCAGTTAACTGAGTCTGCTGGAGTGTGGTAATTACTGCGCACCAGCAGACTCCAGTGTCACGTGTATCAGTGTCCCTGCACTGAAAAATGGGTTACTTTAACTAAACCTTATTCCATGAGCTTTAGTTAGTGT